GCAGTTCATTACCTTTTGTTTAAGAAGTTCTCCCTGTAAGTAATGGGTAACACCATAGGTGTCTGTCAGAATACCTGGACACTGGAAAGATGCAGATAGTTACCAAGATCTCAGAAGATAGGTGAAACCTCTTGAAAGTTCTCTAGCCCAGTCTCCCACTGAGATCAAAGAGCACACCACCAGCATTGCCTGGCAGTTGGATCTAGTCAGCCTCTCTCACACATCCTGCACAGGAATGACAGCCTTCCATACAGTATTCCACGGGGAAGAGATGCCAGCTACCAGATAGCCCTTCCATACATCAAGCCCAAACCCACACTGTCTGAGGCCTGCCAAATGAAACATCCCTTTTGAAAAATGAATTTTTGGAAGAATTTTAATAAAGAATGATTTCAAATATGCAGAAAAAATACAGAGAAAAAGAAAACAAAAACCCGTGTTTCCATTTCCTAAATCCAGTAAGAGGTAACATTTTGCCATATTTGCTTCAATTGTTATCTTTTTTTAAAGATAAATGTTGTAAGACTGAACAATCCTGCTATCCAGGAGCCCCATCCCCTTTCTTTCTTACTTCCTGAATTAATTGCTCTCCAGAAAATAGAGTGGGTGTCCTTACACACAACTACCCTTTCATTTCTTTATTTATTTAATTTTATTGTGGTGAAATACATAAAACATTGTCTACCTCAGCAATTTTCACATTGACATCTTAGTGACATTAATTACATCTGCCATGTTATGTGATCACCACCACTAACCATTCCCAAATTCTTTCATCACTCTGAACAGAATCTTGGTGTCCCTTAAGAAATGACTCCTCATTTCTCAGTCCCACCCGCCTCTGGTGACCACCAATCAGCTGTGGTCTCTGCGTTTGCCTCTTCTAAGTATTTCATATAAGTGGAATCATGCAATGTTTGACTTTTTGTGTCTGACTTATATCACCCAGCATGTTTCCAAGGGTCATCCATATCCTATCATGGATACAATCTCCCTTTTGATGTTTGAAGATTTCCTCAGTATCTTAGCATCTTCTTCTTCTGTTGTGTGTGTGCATGTGTGCACGCGCACACATGCGTGTGTGTGTGGCCCCTCAGGCACAGATGCTGGTCGTGTCCAAATGGATTTTCAGCCCTACCCATCTGCCTTCCTTATTTGACTGCAAGAGTTACCATTGTGCCAGCTTGTCCATTCTTTCTTGACCTTTGTACCCTGGCATTGATGCTAATAAGTATAGGGAAAAGGATATGGACTTGATTCTGTAAGAGGCACCCCATCTCTTCTTGTAAGTGAGGGCAACTTACCTTGTGTATTGCTGGATTTAGTTTTAGGGAACTTTGCAGAAGTCAATAGTTGGGTTTCTCCTAATGGCTGCTGATTAGCTCCTTCTGGGAGACAGGGACTCTGGCCCCTGGACATTTGCCTCATGATTTTATTAATTGAACTGTGGGTTTCAGGACATGCAAAGGATCCCTTTCTTTCTCATCATCACTTCAGGTATCTTGCTATGTCTTGTGAGGCTGAAATCTCCGAAGCTGCAGACACAGTATGTGTTTTCATCCAGGGGAACATTTTCATTTTGTTCCCATTGGTCAGCACTTTGGAGGCTGTTTTGGCCACAGCAGTACGCTGAATGTTTGTCTCCAGGGACAAACTATATCAATTCTTCTTCCTGGCATGTAACTGATAGCTCAAGGCCCTCATTTTATAAGTATCATTTTCTTAAATAACATGGTAGGCTAGAACAAAGGCCACCTCAAATCCACAGACTTCCACACAATGAGAACATCACTCTAGAATGTTCTACTTTACGTATGTGTGTGCGTGTGTGTGTAGTGAGTACTATTTTCTCTTGTGCTTCCAACTAGTTAATTTTTCATGAATCATTTTAAAAGACTGTTGTTGTTATGTGCCATCGAGTTGGCCCCGACTCATACCGACCCCCCTTGGGTTTCTGAGGCAGTATCACTACGGAAGTAGATTGCCCAACCTTCCTTCCGAGGAGTGGCTGGTGGGTTTGAACCACTAGCCTTCTGGTTAGCAGTCAAGTGCCTTAGGCACTATGCTACCAGAGATAGCACTTCATAATTTGACGTTCTCGTTTAAGGACTTATTTTATAATGATGTGTTATAAAACACTTTCCATGGAAGAAATACAAACAGAAAATGGCCAGTGGTCAACAATAACAGCTGGGGCAGATGTGGAAGGCAGCGCTCTGCCCGAGAAAAAGCATCAGATTTTTCATTTATTGACTTCTTTGGAAGGGGAATGGCAGGGGAGGGGTGAAGAAAAAGGAAAATAAATTAAAACCATTCATTATGCGACTGGTTATTTTCTTTTAGAAAATGTTTTCTTGGTTTCTGTTTTACGTGACCAAGCACTTACTCTGCATAATAATGCAGAGAAGTTCTGTGTATAGCCACCACGTCCCATGTACCCTCTGTACAACATGTACAATGATCTGGTGGGATCCTGAAGACGCACATGACCCTGCACGTAACTTCCTCCAAGCCAACTTGCACACCACAGAAACATCTGACTCTTCTCTTTAAAAGGGTTTTTTAGAATAAGGACATACAACCTTCAGTCATCTACCTTCAGAGTGTCCATTACTGCTTTCAAGTTTTTTTAAAAAACAGTTGCCATTGAGTCAGGTCCACCTCATGGTGACCCCATGTGGGTCAGAGTGGAACTGTGCTCTGTACGATTTTCAGAGGCTGATTTTGGATTCCCCAGGCCCTTTTTCTGAGGTGCTTCTGGGTGGACTCGAGCCTCCAACCTTTTAGTTAGCAGCCAAGGGCTTAACCATTTGCAGTACCCATTGTTTTTGTTGTTGGCTACCATCAAGTTGATTCCAACTCAGAGTAGACCTGCCCCATAGGGTTTTCCTGGCTGTAATATTTAGGGGAACAAATGGTCAAGTCTTTCTCCCCCAGAGCCGCTGGGTAGGTTTGAACTGACAGCCTTTCCGTTGGCAGCCAAGCACTTAACTGTTGCTCCCTGGGGCTCTTGATTTCAAATTAGAAGGAGATTTTTTTGGCTTTCCCTGTCTTTGAATGCAAGGAATAGAGATGCTGACCTAAATCAAAGAGAGTGAGCCTGGCAAAAAGCACAGAAAACCCTCTAAGACATTCCAGACAGCAATAGCAAACGTCTGCCACTGTCTCCTCTTTGGTTCTGAAGGCTATGTCTCCTCTTGCCAGCCATCCCCTGCTGAGGTAATGCAGGAGTCAGTATGTGTCTGCAAGGGCTAAGACTGATCTTCAGTGCTGATAAATATTGACATTTCATGACACTTAATTTTTACATTTGTTCTCAAATTGGAAAGCTGGTAATGTCAATAATGGAAACACGTCTTGATCTTTGAAAATCACTGGGCCTAATACCACCTTCTACAAGGGACATCTGTTAACTGTTTGCTTTACTCGATGTTGATGTCACTCAGAAAAGACAGTGATGGTCAAGTACGTTGAGTGTCCCTTCTTTCTGATGAACCCTGAGTCCAGAGCCATTCTCGTTTGGGTACCTTAAAAGGCATCAGTGTGTTCCAACTATATACTTTGCAAAGCTATCTTTATATAATACTTTATTTGAAACAAAAATGTTACAACTTCATTTGTTCATTTTGATCACATATGCGTAAAATAACTTGATCTCTTTCAAAAGCCCAAGGCTTAAGAAAGCATGGTGATGGAAGGTTAAAATCAGGATTTGGTTGACCTTGAATCTCTGCTTTTCACTCCCCTTATGGTTCCGTGCTGTTTGTTCACCTTCTCTAGGTAACAGTGACCAGTCAGGATCCCAGGAGAAGCTGCTTGTCGACAGCCAGGGCCTGAGCGGATGCTCCCCACGGGACTCGGGATGCTACGAGAGCAGCGAGAACCTGGAAAATGGTAATGTCGGCACAGGTCGTCACGAATGTGTCTTCAAATCCGAGCCAGTTTGTTTATCTCCTGACATCTGTGCTTTGGCTGATGACTCTCTTCCTTCCTTGGCTTGAGCCATGGCTTCTGGGGATACTGGTTGGAGGGAGGGTATTTTGGTTTTCTAGTGCCACTCTAACGAAAAATAGCACAGGTGGGTGACTTGGACAGACAGGGATCTACTCTCTTACAGTTTGGGAGGCTAGAAGTCCGAGTTCACAGTGCCAGGCTCTAGGGGCTGGGTGAAGGCCAACCTTGGGCTTCAGCTCTGCCTCTTGTTCTTGGCCCACTGAAGCTGGGGGCATTTCTTAACTCAGGCAGCTGCTGTCTAGTGAGGCTGACAAGCCCAAGGTCGACATAAAATGGCACAGTCCAGAGATTATCAAGCAATGCAGCAGGCCACTAGTTCAAGCCCAGAAATAGTCCCAAGATTGGCAGAGAACATGGCAGGCCACTCACTGATGACTCAGCCAAATGCAGGATCCAGATGTGCTGAGAGGCTCCGAGACCTTCCTCAAGACTTCTCCTTATGTACTGGAAGCAGCCCACATCCCTAAGGCAGCTACTCAGCTGCTCCAGTAGATTCCACCACGGAGTTGATGACCAGTCTTCTCATGAGCAACAACTGTATCATCCAGCTGCCCAGCCACTCATAACCAGGCCTGGCCAAGTTGACACATAATCTTAACTATCACAGAGGGGAAATCTTCCAGGAATATTGATGTTTAATTGAGATATTTAAGGAGAAGGGACATCCCTTCTAGGCAACTGATGTCTTCTGAGTGAAATATGTACAGTCATCTTTCACCACAGTCCTCCTTCCATCCTACTTAGCCTGTAAATGAAAGAATTTGAGACTGAACTGTATATCAAAGGAGAGGACCCTATACAGTGCAGTAGTCCCGAAGAAACTCAAAAGTCTCAGCCCCCAGTGCAGATCACGAAAAGAGCCAGGGATTTAGAAGGAGGAAGCTTGGCATTTGGACCCTGAATACGGCACTTCCAAGCTGAAGACTTTCATTAAATTATTCCATATCTCTGAGCCCTCTTACATCTGAAAGAAATAATATAAATTTCTCATTTATAGATTGTTCTAAGAAGTAAACAAGGAAATAACTATGTTAATAATTCCTAGCATTTATTAAATGAACACTCGGGCTCAGAAAGGTTAAATAATAACCGTAAGCCCTTGTTCGTTTCATTTGGATCATGTTTCTCACCAGTCTGGCTCATGGTGAACTCTCAATCACTGGCAATCTTTTGTTGTTGTTGTTAAGAGGTGCGGTCGAGTCAGTTTTTACTCTAGCAACCTCACATATAACAGAATGAAACACTGCCTCGTTCTGTGTCATGCTCACAGTCATGACTACAGTTGAGCTCACTGTTGGAGCCACTGTGTCCGTCCATCTCATTGAGGGTCTTCCTCTTTTTGTTGACTCTCTACTTACCAAGCATGAAGTCCTTTTCCAGGGATTGGTTGCTCCTAATAACATGTCCAGAGTAAGACGAGGTCTCGTTTCTAAAGAGCATTCTAGCTATACTTCTTCCAAGACAGATGTGTTTTTTCTTCTGGCAGTCCCTGGTATATTCAGTATTCTTTGCCAACACCGTAATTCAAACACATCAACTCTTCTTAGCTCTTCCTTATTCATTGTCCAGCTTTTGTATGCATAGGAGGCAGTTTTACTTGAATCTACAATGAATGCCTGTGGAAGCAGCAGTCAAAAAATCAAATGACATACTGTATTGGGCAAATCTGCAAAAGACCTCTTTTAAGAGTTTAAAAGCAAATAGGTCATTTTGAAGACTAAGGTGCACCTGACCCAAGCCATGGTGTTTTCAGCCACCTCATAGGCATGTGAAAACTGGACCACAAAAAAGGAAGACTGAAGACTGTATTTTAGATCTTAGTCTCAAACCCCATAAGCATTTTCAACTCATTATACATCATCCAGTGGCATCTGTTTTGTTAATTTTAAGTAAGAAAGGATTTGTTGCAATTAAATAACTATTTAGGTTGAAATATGTAGACCATTTTTAAACAAGGAAGAAAGCTATGTGAACCACAGAAGGCTGCTTTACCCAGCTGCTTGTTTATTCATTCTGATAACACGAGAATATTCCAGGGCAGGGGCTGTTGTTTATGTGCTCCTATTTCAATGTGAGGATTTGGAGGAGCCCCTACTGAGAACATGATGCCAAATGGAGGTCTGGTTCCCTTGGTGATGTCATT